GGAAGATTCTGGCATCCTGACAGTAATAGGGAAGTCTGGAAGAGGGAAGGGTTTTGGGTAAAAGATAATGAGTTGTACTTTGGGCATGTTGAGTGTGATGCCTACAGGACATCCCATTTAAAACATCTAATAGGCAGTTGGTAATGTGGGATTGAAGCTCAGGAAAGAGTCTGGATTGTCAAATGATGTGGGATATTGCCTCCGTTATAGATATACATTTTGATAACTAATGTGAATAGAAAAAGAACTTATTTTAATATACACTGCTAAGTTTGTGTGTGAAGAAACATGACTTTCAGATGGGATTCTGGACAGTTTTGAAGAGGAAATGATTGGCAGTATAGAAGTGCGGACTTTGAACTTGTTAGCAATGTGGGGTGATGACTCACTTGTATGGAAACAGTTTAATGTTATAAAGAGTCAGAAACTAGAAAGTAGAAAAATATGATTGTAAAGAAACACACTTTCAAGGGCACCAAAGAGACACACCACTTTGTTGGAAATGTTGGAACTAAGATGTGATAGAATACATCAACTAATTTGCATATAAATGTTTTTAGGACTAATGAGGGTAAAGCTGAGAAAATAAGAAATCAGAAATCGTATAAACATCTGGAAATGGAGGTATTGTTAAAAATAAAAGGATTGTCAATTTGAAATTTGACTTTTTGAGTAGGAGTGTGATAATATTAATATTTGCCAGTATTTTCCTGACCCTTCTTTTTTCCCCCATCCACAACATGGGAAAGTCCAGGCCTATTCTCCTTCCCTAATCTTTAGGGATTAACTTTATTGCGCTGTGGGATGGGGGGGTGGGGTCTTATTGGCCTTGGTCACCTAAAGGCATTACAAAGCCCAGCCACAGGGAGTCGGGTCCCGATGACTTGGTGGATTTCTGAAGAGTACTCAAAGCACCATATCCTGCCCTGATGACCAGATGCATATCCACCAGAGAAGCGAAGTGCTTCTGTAACTGTTACTTATTCTTGTTGTATTAGGGTAAAGTGAGCCCCCTTTCGTTAATTATTCAACGACTTGCAAGTGCCTTATTTCCTCCCAACAATGAACTAAACCTAAATTAAAAGAGTGCTGTCGTGAGATGCATGCTGCCAACATTTGGCCATAGTTATGGCAGGTTGGGATAAGATAAAATGGCTTCATGGTTGAATTGGGAGAAGGGCCCTGCAAATATAGTGGAGGGTTGGATGATCAAATGGAGGAACAGTGCATGGCTGTCAATGAAAAAAGCCCTTCTTTGGGAGAGGGAACAGACTTCGATAGTGAGATGAGCTCAGTAGGTGCTGGAACAGGCTATGCAAGAGAGGAAAAAAAGCTCCAAGTCCAGTATTCTTTGGTTGCACCGGATCACTGAATAAATTGGATTGGTGGCATGACTGTAAGTAAACAGGGCCAGCACATTCAGCAGGTAAAGACCAAGCACTGGGCTTTCAAGGATTGCCACAAAAACTGAGTAGCAACTAATGGAATTATTGGCTGTGCAAGTGAGGGGTCTCTCCTAATTGGAGTGGGAATTGACAGGCCCCAGGAAGGAACCCACCCTACTGTCTCTGACCCATGAATGGAATCATGAGACAGAAGAATTAGAGCAGAAGTGGGGTATAGGTTGGGGATCTCCTACTAGTAGTAAGAAAACTCCTGGCTTAGCCCATTCCTCCTTCCAGGAGGGCTGGGAGCAGGCAGTGGGTGGAACTTTTTCACCAAGGAGTTCAGTGATTGTGGGATTGACAAGTCCCAGGAGTGATGGCTCACAAGGGCGTGGTCTAACGGAGCCTTTGTTGAGCCACTAGCAGCAGCTGAGTTCCATAGCCTAGGAGAGCTCTCCGAGATACTTTTATCAAGTCAGTTAAATTGGTTAGACCCAATTGCTCTGTGTCCCTTTTTAGGAGGCTGAGATGGGGGGTTATTTGCAACTGGTATCATAAATTTGAATTCCCATTGTAGCCAGCTCCCCAATGAGGATATGCAACAGAGAGGGTGAAGTTCCTAAAGGAAATGGGTTTGATAGATTGGGTTTCTTCAACCTCCTCCACCTCTGCTCCTCTACTTTGTACCCTCCCCCTCCTCACACTCACCTTATGCCTGCCCATCTTAGGGGGAAATTAGATCCTACCTTCACAGGGATGGAACCCCAGCTGAATGGCTTTAGTCTTTAGTTATGAGTTTTACTTAATAATATTCCGTTATATTCAGTGTAGTGTCATGGTTAGGGAGCATGCCTCCAAGCCAGATAGACCTAGGTCCAAGTTTTTTCCTGCCTCTGACATGTACAACCAAGTCACTAAATCACTCAGTCTTTAAGGCAACTTTACAAGACTCTTAAGTTTCATAGAAAGCATTGATCTGCATGCATAGAGGGGATTTCCTCACCTGGGATCTCCCTCTAACAGTGAAATTAGAGGTCTGGTCCCTATTCTTACCTTTTACTTCTTGGCAAATTTGCTCTCTGAGCAATGATCTCTGAGTCAAAGAACAAAACCACATTTCTTGTATCATTCCAAATTGATATCTAGAATCGTTGGAACACTTTGCAGTTCTACCAAGAGTGTATCAGTGTGCCTATCTTTCCACAGTCTCTCCAACATTGTCTCATCTATTGTCATCTTTGCTAATTTGAATGGAGTGAGGCTGCCTCAGATGTGTTTTCTCATCTTATCAATTTCATTTTCAATGATCATTTCTTATCAATGAGTTGGAGCATTTTTTTAAAAAAATTATGATCATTTATAATTTCCCATTGTTCTTTTGGATATTGTTCATTTCCTCCAACTCCTGTGGCTTAGGAAGCACTTTACTCACAACAACCCTGTGAGGGAGTTGGCTCAAATGCAATCATTCCATTTTACATAGGGGGAAACTGAGGCTGACCGCAAAGAACTGTCCTGCCGTCAGTCAGCATCTGATGCTGAGACTAAAAACCTCTTCCCAGAAGAATTAGATGAGTCAGTGATGAAAGTCAGCAAGGCCTTTTATTTGTGTGCTTAGGGGAATGTCACATGACTCAACTTGAGAAACCCAGGAGAGATAGGGACAATCCAAGCATAAGACCTTCTATCTTCTGATTCTCTGGGTGTTCCTATGCCTGCAATTCTCTCTCCTCATCTCCCTCTCCTGGCTTCCTTCAAGTCCCAGCTAAAATCTTAGCTTCTATTGAAAAAAAACACCACCTTTTCCTGGGGCTGGGACTGACCCCTATAAAGCAGGATTGGGAAGGGGGAAAAAAGAGGTGATACCAGGGAAGATGCCTGGGAGCCTTGTGCACAACGGTCTTTGGGCTATGACAAGAAGAGAGGATCCAGAATGGTCTGGTGGTCCTGAATGCTCCCACGTCTTGGTGCACGGTTATAACAAAGCTCTTCTTGGGACTCTGGTCCATGTTTCAGGTAAATTCAAGCAGACCAGGTCCTGGGTCACGGTGAGTCTGGGTAAGAGAATTTTTGGGGTTGGAGCTGTTTATTTCTTAAGCTGGAGGAGAAGAGACCTAGTCAGGTGGGCCTGATTGGTTTTCCACCCTTGAGGTCACAGACAGGGAGACACCAAGCAGCTGAGGAACTGGAAGCTTCTATCCTAGAATGGAAGTTTCTTCCTGAGGAGGGTTCCAGAAAAGGGCAGGGGAGAAAGGGAGAGAGAAAACTGCTAGGGAACAGACAGCCTGTTGGAAAGAGGAAGACTAGGTCGGAGAAACCAGAGGAATTTCCGGACAATAACCCAGTCATACTGCTCCAAGTTCAGTGCATGAGGATAATCAGGTCATACATCTAGAACAGGAAGGGACTTGAGAAATAATCTAATCTAAGATCTTCATTTTCCAAATGAGGAATGAAGCCTGGAGAGCTGGTACAAGGCTGCCTTACGCAAGTGTCGGTGGCCGGAACTCGATTCTATATCATCTGACTCCAAATACCGGATTTTTTCAAGTAGAGGGATATAAAGAAGACCCAGCCAAAGACAGAAAGACACATCTTTTAAAGAGAGTCTTTGATTTAAAAAAAAAAATGGAATAAATTAGTGGTGCCATGGATACTGGGCTTGGAGTCAAGAAGACAAGGGTTCAAACCCTGCCTTAGACACTTACGGGTTGTGTGACCCCAGGCAAGATCCCTTGACCCCTCGGCTTCCTTTTCCTCATCTGTGAAATAAGGGAGTTGGAATCAAAGGCCTCCAAGGTCCCCACAAACTCGAAATCTATGATCCTATGAATTCATAAACAAAACCTATTAATGACATATTATTGCTGGATATAGCAAATCACTGCCAACGAACACCTATTAGAATGCAGCCACACAGAACACTGGAAATGTACTCATTACGCATCTGAATGCTGGTTACCTAGAGGACTGATAGTTTTTTAGGGGGACTTCTCCAGGTCTAAGGTATTTAAAAAGGATAAAGAAGATTTCATGTGGAGAACAAACATTTTTATTAGTTTTTTTTTTTCCTTCAAAGTTACTCAATGAAACCAGTGGAGGGCATATCTCTAGTCTAACAAATTGGATGACCTTTGTAACCCCAACCGGCCCCCCAAGATTTTTTGTGTTTCACTGGAGAAGTCCTGGTGTCCTACACCCTTAATTAAGCTGAGCTCTTTCATTTATTTCATTGCTAATAGCTCCTTGTGATTTCATTTACATAAATTTATATTTAGGCAAGCAACTAGGCTCCCAAAGTACTACAGTGAGCCCGTCAGCACGAGGAGGAGGCCGTGACCAAGGGGCCCGCTCTGCCCACCTTGAGCATGGCTGCCTTACATCACCTGCTCTCCACCAGGCAAGGTCCCCAACACCAGCTGACTATCAGCCCACGTAGCTGTGCTGGCTAGAGTTCTACTCCATCAACTTCTATCCTGACCTGCATGTCCTTGGTTGTTAATCTCCTCCTGGGCTACGGCCAATCCATTTATAAGGAGGCAACTCATCTTCCAGAAGGTTCTGGACTGTGATTTGCTTCTTTGTCCTCTGACCTACTGTTCTTATCTTCTCATTTCAGGGTGTGTGGCTTGGTGGTGGTGAGACTTCTGCAAATGCGGCCAGCATGTAAGATGTATTTGGACTATGACTCCTTGAGTTGATTCACTGAGCTCCTGTTCTTTCTCATGGATCCAAGCATCAGGAGTCAGCCATGCTGAAACATCAGCCCTTTCCTGGATGTTTTCATAGAATCCCCTTGAATTTGAGATCGCATTAATTTCAAGGAGGACATTACTCAAAAACCGTCAATGCCAGTGACACTAATAGGCTCTAGATGTTTTGTGCTACATGTCAACTAGTGTGTAGCTAGTTCTTATTTCTTTGGGGTATTTCCAGTAGCTAGGTACTTTTCCATTTCTGATGTCACACAAAGCTCCTGATGGAAAGGCAGAAAGAAATTCTACCAGACTTTATTAGGGAGTACTATGGGTAATGGGGAGGAAGAAAAGGCCTTTTTATAGACTACTATGGAAGAGCCCTTTCCCCTGTATTGTAAGGGATGGAATAAGGAGGGGACACCAGAGCGAGCTTGGCTTTTGTTTGTATTTTGAAACATGTTTATTAAATTTTAACAGTGATAATATTGCATCATAATATGAAATCCCTGTGATCCTCCTTTCTCCAGCAATCCTGCTGAGTTGAGTTTGTTAATTTCTCTCCTCTGCCATGAAATTCTCATTGGAAAGGAGCCTTTCTAAACAACTCAGACCAAATCATCTAAGTAGCAGAGATATTGTTCTCCTTTGTTTTTATGAACGGACCAAGCAGGTTTGTTCAGGCAGTTAGGTTAATGTTAGAAATGTTTGGTTGTATTTCCATTATTCATTGCCTGGAAGGAAAAAAAAAACACAAAAAACAAATCTTCAACTGATTTAAGACCACAACAGCAGATACATACAGGATTGCTTTGGTCTAAGCCACCCTGAGTGGTTAGAATGAGTCACTCATCACCCCCTTCTTGCTCCCTTGTTCAGTGTGGGGATATCTTTCAATTCCCGAGTCATCTTGAGTTTCACAAAGGGCTCAGAAACAATTGGAGAAATGTGCCTCTAAACAATCCCCCTATCTGGCCATCAGTTTCTCTGGCCTTTGGCTACCTGAGATACCCTCCTCAGTTACAGCACAGCAGTGAGAGGAGGCTGCAGCCAAAACCAAGCCAATGGCCAGCTTTGACATCTACAACAGGGAGCACGGTTCAGCTGAGTCAATTTGCTGGGTTCAGTGGAGAGAAGAAACAGGAGGATCTCTCCCTTCTTTTCACTTGAGACTGGGTCTCAAAGATCAGAATAATTTCATTTTTATTACACCCTCCTCAAACCCCTGGAACTCCCCTTCTCTTTTATCTTCCTCACTGTATCAATCATCTGTTGCTCCCTTTCTTTCTCGCCAAGACTCAGGCAGGAAAGCAACAAGTATTTCCTAAGAGCTGACTATGTGCACTGTGCTAAGCACTGGAGATACAAATACAAGCAAAAAGAATGACAGTTCCTGCACTCAAGGAACTTATATTCTAATGGGAGAAAACAACATATAAAAGGGAGATAAAGAGAGTTGATGGTGAAGTTCGGGGAGTCAGAAGTACCACAAGGAGGGAAACGAAGGCTGGCTTGGGCCCATTACCAAAATGGAGGCCCTCCAGAAGGAACTCACCAATGGAAAAATGGGGCTGGCTTCATAGAGGGAAGTTCCAGAATGAGAAGGTTGATGATATGGTGGTTCTTGGAACCATTGAACGGAGTGATTTCACAATGAAGGCATAAATATAGACTGATTAATAAATTCCATGTATTTACTGTCTGACGTCATTGTAGAGAAAGCATGGCATGATGGGTAGAAGGCTGGCCTGGGAGGCAGGGAGACTTGGATTTGAATCCTACCTCAGATACTTACTAGTTGTGTGTGTGACCCTAGGGTAAATTACTTAACTTTTCTGGGCCTCAGTTTCCTCAAATGCAAAAAGATAACTCTAAGATCTCTTGAGTCTAAATCTGTGATCCTGTGATATCATCAGAGAGGTTGCATGGTGTGATGGGTAAAGAACTGGCCTTGAAGTCAGGAAGACCACTATTCAAACCTTGTTCAGGTCATTCGCCTGACACATTCAGCCAACGTGATCACAGGCGCATCTCTCAACCTCTCAGTGCCCCAAGCAATTCTCTAAGATCAGAAGTTACTGAACAGCCACTAACCTACACTGATGGGAGGGATGGAAGTCCTTTCGGAAATCCCCCATCTGGAGTCCAGATGCTGGCTCAGCAAAGCTGACTTCTCAGAATCCAGACCATGAACAAAATTTCACACCTTTGTTCACGATGAGCTCATGATTCCCTGTGAATGGCAGCATATCCTGGGACTCTGTGAATGCTTCCAAAACATAGTCAAAGCCAATAAGAGCAGAATCTAATCCCTACAGGTTCAAAGGTAACCTATGAGATGGGTCAGACTCTCCTTCCTTCCCTTTTCCCCTTCTTTACTCCACAACCAGTCATGATGCTCACAGAGCCCAAAATGGGACATCGTGCTTCTCCACCAGTCACTGCCTGAGGGCCCCTGAAAAGAGTGGGTAGTAATTGACCAACCTCTTCAAAGATGGGACCTATCATCATCATCATCATCATCATCATCATCATCATCATCATCATAATAATGCTACTTGACATTTCTATCAACTTTAAGGTCTGTAACACATTTTACATACATTATCACATTTAATCTTGACTACAACTCTATAAGGTAGATGACATTGTCATCCAAATTCTACTCATGAGGCCCATTGAGATTAATCTTGTGACTGGCCCAGTCACAGAGCTACTGTGACTGTGTTTGAGGCCACATCCGAACTCAGTTCTAGCTGACTCCAAGTTCAGTGCTCTATCCACTGAGCCACCCAGTGGCCACTGCAGGAGATCACAGACGAGAGTGTAAACTGCGCCACCAGCCCCACTCCCACCCCCAAATCCGACAGGTGGTAGACTCGGAGATTTGCAGCTCCCTCACACCTTAAGGTCTCAGTGAACTTTAAGACAATGACTTCAGTCACTTTCATTTGGAGAAGGAAATGTTGTAGGTGGGCTCTCTCTAATGCTTATTTATCACAGAAATACTGAATTTGGAGGAAAACTTGTTGCCAGATGTAGGAATTGAAATGGGCAGGAGAATTGATCAATTCCTTCATTCATTTTAAGAAGAAATCCTGTGGACCTAGAGAAACAGCATTTATTCAAATTGGTCTAGAAATTTGCACTCTATCCTGGGAGGAGGAGGAGGAGGAAATAAGCATTTATTAAGTGCTTTCTTTGTGCCAGGAGGCACTGTGTTAAGCACTTTACCATTATGATCTCATTGGAGCTCCACAACATGCCTGTAAGGTAGGTGCTAATATTATCCCCATTTTACATTTGTGGAAATTGAGACAGACAGAGGTTAAATGACATGCCCAGGGACACAAAGCTAGAAAGTGTCTGAGGCTAGATTTGAACTCAAGTCTTCCTGACTCCAGGTCCAGCACTCTATTATGCCACCTAGCTGATTCTGGGCACTTGACAGGTAACCTTTAGCCTTATTTTGCCAGGCTCCAAGCTTAGACATTATATTGTGTAAGACATTATATGTAAGGCAAAAGTCTTACACATAAAGATGGATATAAAAGATGAACTTGCTTGGTGTTGCAAGCATTTGCACAGACATTATTGCTAGTTTTTGTTTCGAGCTGGAAGGGACCTCAAAGGCCACCTCATCCAACCTGTGACTGAAAAGGAATCTCCCTACAACATATCAGCAAGATAGCTACCTGACCTTTGCTTGAAGGCTCCCAGTGAGAAGGAACCTACTGCCTCCAAAGACCGTCCGTTCTGGTTTGGGACAGCTCTAATCATCATGAATCCAGCCCAGAACTATCTCCTTCCAACCTCTACCCATACTGCTCCTAGTTTGCCCCTTTGGGATCCAGCAGAGAGTATGATCTCTCTTCCAGATGACAGCCTTTTGAATACTTGAACCCAGCTACTGTGAACCTCTTCTCCAGGATAGATATTCCTAATGCCAGAATCTAAAGTCCATACTCCAGATAAGTTGGGTTATCCATGGCCTGTGTCCCAAGCTTTATGGCCTCCATGCTTTTGCAAGGAATGCCTCTATTGAATTCCTACCACTTTTTAAAGCCCAACTCAGATGCCACCTACCCCATGAAAGCCTCTTCTAATCTCCCCAACCAGTAATGACCCTCTCGAGAATAACAGAAAGTTAGAACTGACAGGGATCCCAGAGATCATTGTGGACATTTTCTGGAATAGAAAGAAAATTAACATTACCCACACTTAAATGAAAAAGAGAATGAAGAGGATGAAGAAGAAAAGCCCTAGCCACATTACAATGCAAATATTTTTCCACAGTTTGATTCTTAATGTTGAAGCATTTTGCCATTTGATGGAGGTATTTTCTTGTGTTAAAAAAGATGAAGAGAAATCTTCATTGATTTTTAGGGAGAAGCAGCTACTAGCCTAGTAAAATGTCTTGTCTAAGAACATAGTCTCAAGGTCAAAAAATGACTTATGACCTATCCTCTCTTACAAGAAAAATAACATGAGATATCTTAAATAGAAAACAGGAAATCACAGCATTATCCTCCCAGGTCTTCCCACCAGCATCTATTTGTGCTTTCACAAATTGCATGAGTCAGAAGCAAAGGATTATACAGGGGAGAGCTATTAACATGAAATTTGGTGGGTCTTGGGAAAGAAACCTCTTTGGTTTGGCTGAGGCAGCGTGGTACATTTAGAGGCAGACACCTGAGTTTGAAACCCACGTCTACTACTTACTACCTCTAACCTTAGGTGAGTCATTTAAACTCTCAGGACTTCTGTAAAATGAGGGACTTGAATTAAAATGACCTCCAAGGTCCCTTTTAGGGCAGCTGGGTGATACAGTGCATAGAGTGCTGGACCTGGAGTTAGGAAAAACTGTGTTCAAATCTGACCTCAGACATTTACTAGCTTGTGACCCTGGGCAAGTCACTTAACACTGTTTGCCTCAGTTCTCATCTGTAAAATAGGCTGGAGAAAGAAATGGCAAAACATTCCAGTATCTTTGCCCAGAAAACCCCAAATGGGATCATGAAGAGCTGGGCATGACTGAAATGACTAAACAGCAATAACAAAGGGTCCCCTTTAGCTCTATATGATTCTAATGGAAAAGCAATGACCTTTGGATTTGGAGTTGAGGCTTGGGTCTAAGTCCTGGCTCTGCTCCATGACCCCATAGACCAAATTGGTCCCCATTTGTGAAACTTAATTTCCTCGACTGTAAAATGAGAGGGCTGGGCTAGTCGGTCTCCCACATTCCATCCAACTATAAATATAGGAGCCATTATTCTATGATCTTAGGACTAGATAAGCTCGAAGGTCCCTTCCAGCTCTAATACCATGATTCTGTGAGTTTATAATATCTGATCCCTCATTAAAACACTAACTGGACCACCGCCCCCCCCAACTAATTTTTTGATAGCCTTTACTTCATTGAAGTTCCTTGTTTGTTGTATGTTGCACCTTTCCCTTACTTATCACACAAGTCTCCATTGCTCTGTTTTGCTCGTTTTTAATTCTTTGGAGACAAGGGTGTACGATATGTGGTATCATGTAATGCCCTGATGAGAATATTGGCAATAAAAAGGCAGATCTTTATTTTAGGGAGAAACTTGGGGTGGAGCCATGGTGGGGGGAAGGGTGGTGGTCATTCAAAGAACTCTACAACTTTTGTTGTTGTTCAGTTGTGTCTGACTCTCGGTGACCCCATTTGAGATTTTCTTGGCAAAGATACTGGAGTAGTTTGCCATTTCCTTCTCCAGCTCATTTTACAGATGAGGAAACTGAGGTGAACAGGGTGAAGTGCCTTGCCCGGGGTTACACAGCTAGTGTCTGAGGCTGGATTTGAACAGAAGTCCTAGTCAGTCAGTTGGTCAGTTAATAAATATTTATTAAGCACTTCCTATGTGCAGGCCTTGTGCTAAGCTCTAGGGATACAAAGAGTTTCTGCACTCAAGGAGCTCACAATCTAATGGGGGAAACAATAAGCAAACAAATATGTACAAACTATATACAAGATAAATAGGGAATAATTAATAGAGGAAAGGCACTACAATTATAAGAGAGGTTGGGAGAGGCTTCCTAGAAAAGATAGGATTTTGTTGGGTCGTAAAAAGAGCCAGGAACGCAGGAGGCAGAGATGAGGAGGGAGAGAGTTTGAGGCATGGGGAACAGTCAGAGAGAATGCCCAGTGTCTGGTCTGATGAACAGCCAGGAGATCACTGTCGCTGGTCTCCAAGCCCAGAGCTCTATCCATTGTTATCTAGACTAAAGAGGCTCATCTCTGTGACCAACCCAGTTACAAGCCTTCCTAAAATGAGTCAGATTAATCTGAAGACGTCAGACTTACAGTCTATCCCTGGGCCCCAAAGGGGAGCACTCACTGGATGGAGCTCATGTTCTAAGGGCACAGCTTTTGAGAATCCAAGGTCACCTCTATGCTCTGGTCTTGCCAAGCTCTTAGAGGCTCCTTGTCACTGGGTTGGCTGAAAGGTAATGGATCTTTTGGCCACAGCAGCTGTTGAAGACCATTTACCAACAGTGGCTTAAAGGAGTCAAATACACTGACAAAATCATGGATCCTTGAAGTACTTAATTAAGCAAGTGTTCTGCTACAAACCCAGCTTTATTGATCCCATCATTTTAGGTTGGGGGATGGGGAGATGCTTAGCTTAATTTCTATTGCTGAAGGAAAAAGTCAAATAATTGAGAAATGTGTACTTTGGTCCTCTCTGTGGCCAAAGGACTGATCAGTTTTACTTTTCTACTTAACCAAAAAAGTAAGCAACCAACCCATCATTCAACAATAATCAACCACCATAAAGCCACTCTTTGCCATTGCTCAGATGTGGTATGATGGGTGCAGGGTGCAATGGGATTATTGCTTCCATTGATCACTTTGCAAATCTTCAACTGGGGTCTAAGTGTGAATTATTGTTATTGTTATTTCTCCACTAAAGTCCTACTCAAATTCTTTACTGTGGTATGGAGTTGGCTCTAGAAGACAATGCTAATGAGACTTTAGCCTCAGCAGGTCCCACTCAGCTAGAAGGCCCAGAAATCATGCCTATTATTTGAAGATCAGCCTAATTTCAAGGACTTATCAGCAGGTAGGCCACAGGATAACTGTTGTTGTTGTTGTTGCTGTCCATCCTTTTTCCTCCAGGATGACCGATGACATCAGGAAGGTGATGTCTTGACTTGCAAGCGAATTGGATTTGAGTGAGGCAGAGGTGGACAAAGTCATCAGCCTCACTCTCTCCTCCAGAGTCATCAGAGTTCAAT